TGGAAGTGTTGGAGCGGGTCCAGAGGAGGGCCACAAAAATGATCCGAGGGCTGGAGCACCTCTCCTATGAGGACAGGCTGAGGGAGTTGGGCTTGTTCAGCCTGGAGAAGAGAAGGCTGCGGGGAGACCTGATTACGGCCTTTCAATACCTAAAGGGGGCCTATAGGAAAGACGGGGAAAATCTTTTTAGTAGGGCCAGCTGTGAGAGGACAAGGGGTAATGGTTTTAAACTAAACCAGGGTAGGTTTAGACTGGATATAAGGACGAAATTCTTTACAGTGAGGGTGGTGAAACACTGGAACAGGTTGCCCAGAGAGGTAGTGGAGGCCCCATCCCTGGAAGTATTCAAGGCCATGTTGGACGGGGCTCTGAGCAACCCGATCTAGTTAGCGGTGTCCCTGCTCGCTGCAGGGGGGTTGGACTAGATGACCTCTGGGGGTCCCTTCCAACCCAAAACATTCTGTGATTCTATGATATTCCCATCAGGCTGTTCTGGAAGTAAACACGAAGTGAGCAGCCAGCAGGAAAGAGCAGGCCCTACTTTCTCCTAGGCAGGTCTACTGGCCATTCCTCACAGGACAATCACTTCAGCAGAAACAAGCACGTTCTGCAAAGAGGGTGTAGTCTCCTGCTACCTGGGATACTAACAAGGAATGGAAAGGATGAAAGAGTGCGATGAAGGGAGCCTAACCCTGTTACTGTTACAGAGATAACATCAAAGCTCACTGCTCTTTGCTTGGCTATCTCCTAGGAGGTGCATCCATCTCAGCAGCTCCTCGTTATACATCCTCGCCCAAGAAGGTGTCTCAGGAGGAGAGACACAGAGACAGGTCTCCAGTACACTTGCTACTAACTGCTCCACCCGATGACCTTGCAGCTGGCCCCAGCACCTCACCAGAGCACAGACCATCCGCAGGGAAGGTTGGCTCTCCAGAGGATGCAGCCACAGTCCCTCAGATAAGTAAGTCCGGTTCCGTTTACTGACACAGGGAGCTTGGCTGGGTCTCTCCCCAGCCAGTACGGTGAGTTACAAACTGTAGGTTAAATTCAGCCGCTCAGCAATTCTGTACTAACCAATGGAGTCCCACCATCATTCACTGATACAGTCTTTCACAGTTTATGGTTGTGGTACCTGTACTTCATCCTGCATTTTATTTTTTACGTACCTTAGTAATACATTGCTTACAGAAGCCATTCATGTTGCTGAACGTGAATGCTAGCAATTCTCAGATGTGCAGTGCTGACACAGGGTTGATCTTCCATTTGTGGTTCCAGCAAGTGCCATTAGAGTATGCAAATTTATTGAAACATAATTTGCTGATGGTTCATCTTAAAGCACTGCTTCAGCACTTCCGGCCCACTTACCTAAAAGTGACCTGTTCTTGCTTACATCAGACTGCCTTCACCCTGTCACAGTTCTGTTCAAGGAGACCTTTTTTTCTGTGATAAATGAATTGTGAGTAAAATGTGGCATCTAATTAATGTATTGCACAAAGAGAAGATAAATTCCATACAGCACTAAATTTAAGAACTGGTAAATTGTTTTATTCAGGTAAATAGACTGTAAGGATGCTTAACATCAATATTTGCAGTAACAGGCAACACGGTTGCCTAATACTAATATTTATAATAGTTGTTGTGGTTCCTGTAACACATTTAGAAAAGGTCTGGGGTTTACTGAAAATATTGATGTAAGGCTGTGTCTGTGTAGCCCTTAAGCGTTAAAAATAAGCTTTCCCATGTCACAAAATATGTGTGAGGATGATGAACATTTTCAAGGTAGTCTATTAATGACTTACCAGTGAGCCAGGCTGTCAGGGCTGTTTTATTACATCTAAGTGGCAGATGGACCCCAAAATCAGTAGATGCAATAGGGAAAACAGGTAAGCAACCACATTTTCAAGTAATACATATCGAATACCATTTTTAAACATTGCATTCTCCTATTTTGCAAGGTCTGAAAATACAATTTCTCTTAGAGGGCACATAAGCACTGCAGGTAGGCGTGCAGTAGAGACGCTGCACACCTACCTCTAAGCTATTTCTGGTACAGGCAAAAATCTAACCATAGCTCCAAGGAACTCAAAAGGACTAATGTTTCCTGCTTCTCAGGTGGGATTTTATTTTTAGTTTCAGCCTAACTTTAGGATGTCTGTATTGTGTTATTTTATTAATGCAGACTTCTCCTCAGTCACTTTATCTGTTGCGTTTGAGAAACATCAGGATCTTCTCTTTATGCAGAGCGGTATCTAGAACAGCTGGGCTGAGCAGTCGTCCTGACTAGAACATTAACATGGTTGCTCATTGACCTTTGCTTCCCCCAGCTGTCTGGGGGAAAGCTGTCTGCAAAGATGAAGTGCATGTTTGTTAGCTAATCGGTATCCTTAATGCATGTTTAACAACTAAGAAATGCCTGTTCATAAACAGAGTGCAAATGTGCGTGGCATTTCCCCCTCAAAGCGCTGAATTGGCTGCGTGAGTGAGTACATGCAAATTTCTGTACCTGCAGAGCAACACAACTGTCCCCGCAATGAGCCTTGGTTCTGGATTGCACCTGCTTTAGGAAAAACGCAGGCTTTGTCATGTGGATGTCTCTGCAATTGGGCATAAACCCCAAATTGTTTCCCTGTAGACCACAGGAGGTCTAGCAGGTCACAACTGCAACCTTCAGTCCGTTGCCAATCATTGCTCAGTTCAAAGAGAAAGATAAGCGGCATCACTCTTTTTTTGTTGTGTTTGGGCTTTTTTTGTTTTGTTTGTTAATCTCATCAGCCAGTTACCTTCATCTCTAGCTCCTTTTATTATTTTTTTTTGCCTCTTTTTATTTGAGAATTGATGGCAGTAGCAAAAATGAAACAGTCCGGGTTCTGGTCAGAAGAGGCTCCGGGATGGGAGACTGTAGTTGTTCGTAAAGTACTGGCGTGACCGTGTCAGTCTGTGGGTGTTAGTGTTCAGACAGGCACAATGCCTGTTGAGTTCTGCACTAGTCTGGATCTTCAAAGACCCGGAACTTCTGGTTTTATTCCTGGCTGTAGTAAGTGATCTCTTTCTGTACCTTAGTTTCCATCTGTAAAATGCAACTGACACTACTGCTTTCCTCTGTCCAACTCTTGCAGTTTTACCAGCAAAGAGGGACTTTGAAGTCGTGGGCATAAATACTATTTTAGTAGCATAAAGCACTTTTTCTCCATTCCCCAAATGGGGAAATTTATAGGCAAAATAGAAATGTGGTTGTATTTTCACTTAAAGAGAAACACCACCAACTATGAATTTCTCATAATAAGCTTGTGTTCTTACTCGTTTTCTTTGCTATTGGAAGATTTATTGTTTGAAATTTTATTTTCTAAGAACTTCACTTTAGACGGAATATTTAAATAATTTATAATGACCTTTTTTAAAAAAAAAAATCTATGATAAAATATTGATGAATGATCTTCTCCCTAGATTCTCAGCCCATGGAAACTAGTGGGAATACATCTAAGAGGCTACAGAACAAGATGGAAAGCCTGCAGAACCTGGTGGAATCATTACAGATAAAAAACCAAGGTGCCAGAATTTACAAAAATTATTCCTATTGTATTTAAAACACCGCACTCTCCAGAAACTGTTCTTGTTACCTGCCAGAGCACTACCTGTGTTTTTGTATGAGGTCAGTTTAGATGTGCTTGTTTTACTAGCAGTACCCACTTCTACATTATCCTGCTCCTAGGAGAGTAATTAGATTAGCTCCAGAATACGCTGTTGCTCAGCCCCTTAACTCTAATAAGCTTCAAGATCCTTAACATTTCAAACATGGCAGCTGATCAGGGGTGCCCTCGTGTGCTGTCGTCTCCCATTAAATGAAATTTTTAACAAGCTGATGACTCTTTCATGGAAACTGAAAGGTACTCTGACAGCAGTAGGCTCCAAAAACAGAGTTTCCCAGCAGTGGTCTCAGAAGTATATCCTTTCCTCCTCAACTATTTTTTAAATCTGAAATGACCACAGTGACAATCGAGAACTTTTCAGGTCCTCTTCTTGGTCCCTTTGAAGTCACTGGTAAAATGCTTACGGACTTCTGTGGTGGTAGGATGCCAGGTGAGATGGAATTTCTTTTCTCTGCACCTCTTCTTACTGCATGTTCTAATTGCTTGCCCTTTGCGCCTTTAAATCTCACTGCACAGATGTGGGAAATTATTATTTCCCCACATCTTACAGTGCACACGTGTCATTCACATACTAGTGACCTGATTTAGGTAAAACTAATCAGTTTATTTATATAAAGTGTAAGTAAGTGTTCCCATTTTTATTCTTTGCCATCCATTAACATCTTTGGTTTGACTGTTTTCTATATCCACATAAAAATAAGTATTCATATCTGTAATGTATCAAGACTTACTATATTAAAGGGGGGGGAGCCTTTTATGTGCACACTTAAGTAAAGCCCTTTCCATGAGCACTGGACCAAAGGCATTAATTTCACACCATCCCATAAGAGATATTGTGAAATCAATAGCATTTCAGTGCTACTCCAGCATTTGGTGCTTTGGCTTCACAAAGCAGATGAGGCGGTGCCTGTTTTTAACTAGGTTTCTCTTTTCTGTTAAGGCCCTGCATATAAAGAATTGCAAACTGAAGTTGCATTTATAAGGGCTCGATAAGTACAGTGTAGCGTGCGGGAGGATATTACGAAGCTTCAGGTGTCTGCACCTGAGGCCTCAATCATTTTAACATTAGGTGGTGTTCAGATAATCTGTTCTTGCTATTTTCAGCCATGTCATCAATGATCAGAACTCAGGAAATGAAGACAGAGAAAGCAAAGGAAAAGAAGAAAAAGCTATCAAAGTGAAGACGCTGTATGCATTAGTGATTACTTTCACGTATGTACATCATGTTTAAAATACGTTATATTTTTAAAGATTAATAATAAAAGTTCTTACAGTTTTGTAATTCTTGCCTGGAACCATGACACCTAACAGTTTTTACTTTCAAATGAGAGGGAGGTACAGAGGAGTAGAAATACATCTAAACACAGACTCTTGCACGGGCACACATTTTCAATAGCTGTGTGCTGTGAGGGACGCTGGCCACAGGGCACTGCTGACTGCTTCAAGTTCCAGCATTTCTTCCATGTGTTCTGGATCTTGCACACCATTTCAGGTCCAGTTTTTTAGAAAGTTAGTTTTGAAATGGTTTGTTGGGCATTTTTTTTTTCATTCTAAAATAAATTGGTTTCCCCTCCCTCCATACTTCATGTTATTACTTCACTAAACTCCAGTTCATCTGGATGTCCTAGAACTGCCAAGTACTTCCAGTAAAAGCAGGAAACCTGCCCGTGGCTCCTGTTAATGTTGAGATAAAGTGTTGAACCACATACCTACAACTGCAGGACTGCACAATTTCATCCAATACCATGATTCCTTTAAGCAGAATGGACACACCAAGTGGTATTTTTTATCTAATTTTCACTGCTTGTTGGATGTTTCGCTCGATTCATGGTACAAATGGAGAGTCCGCAGCCTGCCTTGGGCTTAGCCTTGTAAGCATAGCACTCATATTTTGACTTACATCTGAGGGTGTATATGTTCATAGCTGGGGACTTTTTGTACTTCTTCAATCTGTGTCCCTCTATAAAAACTAAAATAGGTGAAGTTTAGGCAGAAAAAAATGCATTTTGAATCTATACTGGCTTTTTTTCTTATAACAGTCTCGTATGACTTAAATGCCAGGCTCCATCGCCTGTATTAAGAAGTCTGTTAAAATAGCTGGGCGTATTACTTTCAGTTGGTCTCCAAAATTCTCTTCAGTTGAGTCACCAATACAGACAACCGTCCCTTAATATGAGTGCCAAAGAGTAATGTTCTCAAAGGCCATCCTTTGTGTAAGGATCCAAAGGAACATCCTAGTGTAAGGTTTAGTAATAAGCAGGAAGACATGCAGAATACACCTGACATACATTAATTGCTTTTAAAACCTCCTGTGTCTTCTGACATTTGAGAATTCTGCAGCAGTGGGCAAATGACTTAGTGCACTTAAAGGAGTTAAAAGACTATCTAATGCTATAAACAATTCCAAAGTAGTAAGATGCAACAGGATCACTACAGTATCAGATTGATTTTAAAGCCTCATTAGCGTTTGACAATATCTCAGGGAACAAGATGGTTGTTGAAAAAAAGGCAGAGGATGAAGAAATTTGTACTTATCCCAAACGGAGTACTTTTTCCACCATGTGCCTTTTGATTTTTGTCTGGGGACTGTTTGCGAAGAGCAGATTAATAGTGCTGCCCTTTCAGATTCTAGCGAGGCTGGCTGAGAAGTTGGTCAGGGAAGCTGCTGGCCTGATAGCAGGGGAGTCCTTGTGATAAACGGTACTAACAAAACAAGGGGCAAGATGGCCCTATGCAATAAATCGGTACCCAAGCACAGAAAAGGAGACCATCCCCGGGGTCAGCAGGAGGTGCCAGTGGGGCAGCTTCATTAGCATTAGCGGTTTTCCTCATTATTTGCTTTCTGAAAAGCAATTATTGCCTTGATTTGTGGCAGCATGGAATGCCACACTTGAATTCAAGGGGCTTACCTGGTGATTTTGTCCAAATCAAATGATATGTAGCTACAGCTCAGCAAAAGTAGCTTCATGAGCACAAGCCATGCAGATAAAAGGTTGGTTTTGTTGACTTTAAAGCTAGAGAACTCTATTCAGAGTAGATCAAATCTGTGAGGTTTTTTTAGTTTGAGGTCTTCTTGTGTGGGAAGAAGAGACTAGTGAGTTGTTCCTAAGCTGTTCTCAGTTATTGTTGATGGTATTTTGATTTAATAGGTAATTTTCTGTATTTCCTAATATTTTTTTTGCACTAATTCTATCATTTTTTTGCAATGGTGTTGCAAGCTTAGTCAAAATAAAGGCATCTCCCCTTTCCTAGGAATCGGTTGCATTGAAAATTACAGGATCACTTTAGATGGCTTGTGTATCACAGTTTGGACTTGTTAAACATGTCTGACCGACCTAACAAAGTTTTCGTAAGAAAAGGGTGACGAGTAGGGAATG